AGCTCCAGCCATTCCAACAGCCACTGGAACAATGAAGTTGTGTTGCATAATGACATTTAGGTCATGATGGACTGCAGGATGTCAGTGAAGAACCCAGGAGGGTAGAGGAAAATCAGGCTTCCTTCTGCTGGCAGTCTATATCAGCATAGGGCACCTGTACAACACCTCACATGACATGTTGGGGTTGACCTCACAGCCAGCCTATGGGAGATCACACCAATGAACAGGACAACTATAATCACCACCCAGTTACAACAGGAGAGCCCAAATAACCCACAAAAGGAACATTCCTAGAGTATCCAGCTCAGAAGATCAAAGAGACTGTACCACTGGGCCCCACAGGACAATCACTACATAAGGCCACCCCACAAAGACTGGGAGTCAAAGCAGTTCTATCTAAGACATAGAAACACACAGACAGCTAAAATGAGGAAACTAAGAAATAACCCCCACATGAAAGAAAAGAAGGAATCTCAAGAAAAATAGCCAAATGATATAGAGGCAAGCAATTGATCAGACATAGAGTTCAGAGTAATGGTGTAGGAGAGTTCAGAGTAAGGATGCTGAGGGAAATTAGTGAGAACTACAAGGAACTTAATGAGAACTAAAAGGAACTTGATGAGAACTGCATCAGCATGAAAAAAGGACCTAGAAACTATGAATAGAACCAATTGGAAACGAAGAATACAAGACCTGACATCAAGAATACACTGGAAGGAATCATAAGGCAGTTGGATGAAGCAGTAGATTGAATCAGTTATTTGGAAGACAAGATAGAATAGAACACTCAATCTAAAGCAAAAAGAAACAATTTTGAAAAGACTAGGATAGTTTAAGGGACTTTGGGACAATATGAAGAGTAACTGTATCTGTATCTGTATCATAGGTGTGCTGGAGGGAGAAGAAAGTGGATAAGGGATAGAGAACCTGTTTGAAGAAATGACAGAAAACTTCCTAACCTGATGTAGGAAAAAGTCACACAAGTTCAGGAAGCACAAAGTTCCAATCAAGATGCACCCAAAGAGACCAAGAAGACACATTATAATTAAATGGGAAAGGTTGAAGGCATAGAGAGAATCGTAAAGCCCGCAAGAAAGAAACAAGGGAGGTCCCATAAGGCTGTCAGCTGGTTTTTCATCAGAAACATTTCAAGCCAGAGGGATTGGTGTGAAATATTCAAAGTAATGAAAAGCAAAGAACCAACACTATTCTATCAAGCAAGGCTATCATTTAAAATTTAAGGTGAAATAAAGAGCTTCCCAGTGAAAAAAAGACTGTAGGAGTTCATTACCACCAAACCAGCACTGCAAGAAATGTTAAAGGGACTGCTTTAAGAAGAAATAGAGCCTGGCTAGGCATGGCTCTGCGGTTGAGCATTGACCTAGGATCCAGGAGATCACACAGTTCAATTCCCAGTCAGGGCACATGCCTGGGTTGCGGGCTCTATCCCCAGTCAGGGCATGCAGGAGGCAGCCAATCAATATCAATGACAACTCTCTCATCGCTGATGTTTCTCTCTCCCTCTTCCTCTCTCTGAAATCAATAAAAACACCTTTAAAAAAAAAAAAAGAGAGAGAGAGAAAGAGGAACATAGGTATAAAAATGGCAATAAATAAATATATACCTATCATTAAAGCTTTAAATGTAAATGCATTAAATGCTGCAATCAAAAGACATAGGTTAGCTGAATGGATAAAAAATATGACCCATATATATGCTGTCTATTAGAGACCCACCTCAGAACACAAGATTCACAGAGACTGAAAGTGAAAAGATGAAATAAATATTCCATGAAAATGGAAATGAAAAAAATTCGGGGGTCACTATATTTATATCTAACAAAACAGACTTCAAAACAAAGACCACTACATAATACTAAAGGTATCAATCCAAAAAGAGGACTTTACTCCTGTAAACATATATGCACCCAATACAGGAGCCCCTAAGTATACAAAAAAACTCTTGGTGGATTTAAGGGAGAGATGGGCAGCAATTCAGTCATAGTAGGGCCTTTAACTCCCCACGATCATCACTACAGAGATCTTCCAGACAAAAAAATCAACAAGGAAGCAGCAACTTTAAACCTCACGCTGGATCGGTGGGGTTTAATTGATATGTACAGAACATTTCATCCCAAAGCAGCAGAATATATATTCTTTTCAAGTGCACATGGAACATTCTCAAAGATAGACCCATTTTAGGACACAAAATAGGTCTTAAATTCAAGAAGATGGAAATCGTACATCGAAGCATCTTCTCAGATCACAATGGCATGAAACTAGGAATTGACTACAAAAAAACAAACACTCTATAACAAACACATGGAGGATATATAGGATGTTTTTAAACAATGAATGGGCTACCAAGGAGATCAAGGAAGAAATAAAAAATTACCTGGAAATAAATGGAAATGAGCACACAACACCCCAAAATCTTTGGGGGACAGCAAAAGCAGTCCTTACAGGGATATTCATGCCATTTCAAGAAGCAAGAAAAATCTCAACTAAACAATCTAACCCTATGCCTAAAACAACTAAAAACAAGAAAAGCCCAGAGTAAGCAGAAGGAAGGAAATAATAAAGATCAGAGCAGAAGTAAATGATGTAGAGACTAAAAAAAAATAAAAAAATATAAAATGTCAATGAAACTAAGCGGGTTTTTTTAAAAAGATAAACCAAGTTTTATGAACCTTTATCTACAGTCCTCAAGAAACAAAGGGAGAGGACCCAAGTAAACAAAATCCTAAATGAAACAGGAGAAATAATAACTGTCATCACAGAAATACAAAGAAAATACTGTGAACAACTATATGTTAACAAACTGAACAACCTGGGCAAATGGTCAGATTCCTAGAAACAAATCAATTTTTCAAAACTCAATTAAGAGAATCAGGAAACCTGACTAGACCAATAACAATTAACAAAATTGAAGCAGTAAATAAACTCCCAGCAAACAAAAGTCCTAGACCAGAAAGCTTTACCAGCCAGTTTTACCAAACATTCAAGGAATAACTTAACACCTATCTTCCTCAACCAATTCCAAAAATCCAAGAAGAGGGAAGACTCCAAAGGTCATTTAATGAGCCAGAATTATTCTGATTTGAAAACCAGATAAAGACACTATAAAGAAAGAAAATTATTGGCCAGGAATTGAGGACAAAGGAAAAAAGAGAGAAAGAACTCATGGACAAGGACAACAGTGTGGTGATTATGAGGGGGAGGACGATGGGCAGAGGTGGTAGAAGGTATGGGGGGATAAATGGTGATGGAAATAAATTAAAAATTTTTTAAAGAATAACAGTGCCCTAGATATATAGAGCAATGCCTAGAGAAAAGAAAGCTAATGTCAGGTTTTACAATAATAATGGTAATAGCAGTACCAATGATGATAATATATTTGATGCCATCTGAGGCCCTTAGAAAGACATTTGTCAGCCTTTTACCTATCCTGTGTTCTTTCACGTTCTATATCTATGGAAGAATTAAGTTCATGTGCGTTAAAGGGTAAATGTAAAGAGATCGACTTTTCAAAAACTGAAATAAAAGAGAAATAACAAATCTTTAGACTTACAAATAAAGAAGAGATTTCCAAGCTCAAAACCAGTAGTATTTTGTGATGTTTAACATTTTAATTTAAATTATATTGGAGAATTTTCTTCCTTAGTATGACTTCATTAAAAACAAATAAATGTATAATCTGTAAAAACTTCGTAATTATAGTTAAAAGGCAAACTGGATAAAATGCTTGTGAGAAATATAACAGTGGTATTAAGAAACTGATGTAAGTCAAAAAGAAAACCAAATAAATACATAGTATAGTTCTCATACTTAAGGAGAAAGGGGAAATATAATCATCTTATAAACGTTTGAAAATTATTCAAATTCAATAATTTTAAAAAATTTTAAATCCTATTTCAGCTAAGTTGGCAAAGATTTTTAAGCATTAGTATCCAACTCTGTTGTACACTGTAGTGGAGTCTTTTTACACACATTCTTTGTAGTACAGTGAAGGGGTTTCTTTCTCTCTGGAAAGAAACTCTCATGAAAGTATGTCTTAAAAATTGTCATATCTTTTATCGCTCCTCCCAAATAACATGTGTAAATAATTCTTACAGCATAATCTCAAATGTAGGCATGTATTTCTACATGAAGATTTTTATTGCTAGGTTTTTTTAATAGAAGTCAGTTAAGGGTCTAGCATTAGGGAAGTGGTTAATTATAGCTCATGATGAATAATCAACAGTCCTTAAAACAATATTTACAAAATGTATCTAATGGCATGTGAAATTTTCACAAAAGGTTTTAAAATTGCATATGCAGTATGAACTCATTTCAGAATAAAGACTGGATAGGAATATGTAAAACTTTTTAGTATTTGCTCCTGGAAGATTGGGTTATGGATAATCTATGAAATTTACTCCTAACTATATCATTGATCATTTCATAGCAGACTTAGACTTTGTTTTGCTGTCTATTCTTTAGGTAATTTTTAGATCTTACACTTTTCTATAGTTTGGAAATGAAGGTGGTGGAAGTTAAGCTATGTTTCTGTGAAAAAGAGAAAGCAAAAAGCAATTGTCAGGATCTGGTCAGTGTTACTCAGTGGTTAGAACATGGGCCCACGCACTGAATGGTCACGGATTCGATTCCCAGTCACGCACATATGCCTGGGTTGCAGGTTCAATCCCATGGGCAACAGGCAGCCAATTGATCTGTCTCTTTCACATCGATGTTTCTCCCCCAAAAAAAATCAGTGGAAAAATACTAACAACACCAAAAAGCAATTATCAGTGTCTTAAAGTACAGCTCTTTATTTTAATAAATTCCATATATATTACAAGGGGAAACTGATTTGGCGGTATACTGCTTGCCCAAGATGAAGTGAATTAATGGTTTTAACACCATGGTACTCTTTCTGTTTATAAATTTTTTAAAGATATATTTATTATAGTATGTTTCTTGATGAAAGAATCTTTAAAATGTCCATTTTTATTTTTATAGTTTGTGCAGAAGCTTATAATCCTGACGAAGAAGAAGATGATGCAGAATCCAGGGTATGTAATTTACTGCATAAATTAATTTTAAGTTACTCCTGTATTGGGTAACAGAAATAATAATAGAAAAGATGTTAACAAGCAGGAGATGTAATGGAATTATTTTGACTTTCTTTTCCTAGTCTTACCTCTGATAGCTTTTTCTCCTTCAAGTGCTATAAAGTTACTTTTATAGCACTTGAAGGAGAAAGGTGAGTATAAAAATTCACTGCAATTGTGGTTTTATTTCTTTTGCAAATATACAGTTTTCTCATAGTGATAATTTATTTTCCTTAGTATTTCTAGTAAAGAAAAATACTGGGAAGAGCCTTCAGTCCTACTAATTTATAACAACAGAAGTTTACTCTGAAACAAAAAAATCATGGCAAGCACAAAGCAATGTGTAGATTCAACACAGTGCCTATCAAGATATTAATGGTGTATTTCACAAAACTAGGACAAATATTCCAAAAATTTATATGGAACACAAAAGACGCCAAATTACCATAGCAATCTTAAGAAGAAGAACAAAGTTGGAGGAATTATGCTACCTCTTATCAAACTGTACTACAAGGCCATAGTAATCAAAACAACATGGTACTGGCATAAAAACAGACATAGATCAATGGAACAGAAAAAGAACCCAAAAATAATAACGTGGGCCCATGTTCTAACCCACATTTTATAGTCCATTAATACTTGACAGAGGAGGCAAGAGCATACAGTTGGGTAAGGATAGCCTATTCAATAAGTGGTGTTAGGAAAATTGGACAGATATTTGCAAAAAAAAATGAAACTATACCACCTTCTTACACCACACACAAGAATAAACTCAAAATGGATTAAGGACCTAAATGTTAGACCTACTCTGGCCAGTGTGGCTTAGTTGATTGGGGCGCATGCCCGGGTTTTGGACTCTGTCCCCAGTAGAGGATATGCAGGAGGCAGCCAAATTGATGTTTTGCTCTCACATCGATGTTTCTCTCTCCTCCCCTCACCCTTCCTTTCTCTCTAAAAATCAATTTTAAAATATCTTTAAAAAAGAAACCATAAAAATCCTAGAAGAAAACATGGGCAGTAAAATCTCGGACATTTCTCACAGAAATATTTTTCCTGATATATCTCCTCAGGCAAGAGAAACCAAAGAAAATAATAAATGGGACTACATCAAACTAAAAAGTTTTTGCACAGCAAAGGAAACCATCAACAAAATGAAAAGAAAACCCACTGAATAGAACATATTTGCCAATATATCTAATAAGGGGTTAATATCCAAAATTTATAAAGAACTTATAAAACACCACCAAAAATACAAATAATCCAATTAAAAAAATAGACACAGAGAACCCAGAAATCGACCTAAGCCATTACAATAAATTATTTGACAAAGGAGGCAAGAGCATACACTGGAGTAAAGACAGTCTCTTCAATAAATGGTGCTGGAAAAATTGGACAGGTACATGCAACAATATGAAACTAGACCACCAACTTACACCATACACAGGAATAAATTCAAAATGGATAAAAGACTTGAGACGTGCGGTGGATGGGCCTGGAGGGGGTGGGTTCTCATAGCCTCATAGCCTCCCGCCCTGCCAGAGGAGAGGTCACGGCGTGGAACTGCTGCCAGCGCTGCAGCCTGGACCACTGCAAAGTCTGAGTGCTGGGTGCAGCCATGCCGGCAGGAAGGGAAGGATCGAATCATATTTGTGACCAAAGAAGACCATGAAACTCCAAGCAATGCTGAGCTCGTGGCTGACAATCCCAGTGTTCCATATGAGGAGCACAGATTGATCCTGCCAAATGGAGGCATTAACTGGAACTGCTTGTGCATTGGGGGAATGGCCAGTGGCCCCTGTGGGGAACAATTCAAGTCGGCCTTTTCCTGCTTCCACTATAGCTTGGAGGATGTCAAGGGATCAGACAGTGTAGACCAATTCCGGGCCATGCACGAATGCATGCAGAAGTACCCAGACCTCTATCCCCAGGAGGAGGAGGAGGAAGAGAAGAAGCCAGCAGAACATCTAGAAAAGACAGCTTCTGCTGAGGCCACCACAACCAAAGAAGAGGAGAGGTCAAGCTAATGAAGTCCATGCTTCAGCACGGGGCTCCAGGTCTTCCACCTCAGAGTGTTAGGAACCTTTTGCAAAATGCCTTCTGGTCACTCTCCAAGAAAGTGTCTTTCCTCTATTGTTCTGTGCACTGTAATGTACAAAATAACTTATTTTGATGATCAGGCGTCTTGGCTCCTTGACATATACACTGAAAAAAAATGAGGTTGTATTTGTGTGCCTCACATAATCCTATCAGTTACCATAGCTGCCACTCTTAAATTCTCTTCTTAGATTACCCCAAATTTTGCCACTTTGAAATAATGTGCTGAGTACTCTCAACAACCAAAAATCATTACCTAGTAGTGTCTCTTGTGGGTGAGCTGATTTATTCTGATTCATTATCTCCCTTTTAGTAGATTTTATACCCGTTTGGGAAATGAAATAGAAACAAAAACATTTTCCTTTTAAAGTGCTGGAATGGGGCCATTCCTAATACAAGAAGTCAGGTAATCAGTTATTTCTCAGAAACATCTTGACCTTGATTATATGAAGAGGTACTGTGCTTCATTTCTGATACATTTTGGTTTCCATTTCTACATTGAGCTCCAGGTTTTCTTTTTAGAAAGTGAAGCTTTGGACTCTCCAATTCACAATCCCTTTCTAAATAAAGAAAAAGCTGGGTTTTGCTGTTCTTGTTATTCCAAAAGGCCTGGTTTGGGACTGTATTCACACTGGCTCTGTCTCAGCCTGTTCAGATGTAGTATTCTTAAGAGTTAGGGACCTACTTGTTACCAAAGGAGCAGCCAAGAAAGAGTATGAATTAAGTGGTCAATTAAAAAGAAAATACGGATTTTACCTGATTTTGAATGTATGCTTTCTTTTCACTAATTAAAAATGTTTTTGATGTAAGAAAATATAAATTATAAAAAGTTCAATTAAAAAAAATGGATAAAAGACTTAAACGTAAATTGCGAACCCATAAAAACCCTGGAGGAAACCATAGGCACCAAAATCTCAGGCATCTCTCCTGCAATATGTTTGTTGATACATCTCCTAAGGCAAGGGAAACAAAGAAAAAAAATAAACAAATGGGACTACATCAAAATAAAAAGCTTTTGCACAGCAAAAGAAATTGTCAACAAAATGAAAAGGGATCCCACTATATGTGAGAACATACCTGCCAATGATACATCTGAAAAGGGGTTAATTTCCAAAATATATAAAGAGCTCGTACAGCTCAACAAAAGGAAGACAATCCTATTAAAAAATGGGCAAAGGACCTAAATAGATACTTCTCCAGAGAGGACATACAGATGGCGAAGAGACAAATGAAAAGATGCTCAAAGTCACTAATCATCTGAGATGGAAATTAAAATGACAGTAGGGTATTACCTAACACCTGTCAGAATGGCTACCATCAACAAATCAACAAATGACAAGTATTGGCAAGGAGGTGGAGAAAAGGGAACCCTAGTACACTGCTGGTGGGAATGCAGACTGGTGCAGCCATTATGAAAAACAGTATGGAATTTCCTCAAAAAATTAAAAATGGAACTGCCATTTGACCCAGTGATCCCACTTCTAGGAATAAATCCTAAGAATCCTGAAGCAGCAATCAGAAAGAATGCATGCACCCTTATGTTCATAGCAATATTATTTACAGTAACTAAGATCTGGAAACAGCCAAAGTGCCCATCAGTAGATGAATGGATAAAAAAGCTGTGGTACATTTACACCATGGAATACTATGCAGCTGTAAAAAAGAAGAATTACTCAGACTTTGGGACAGCATGGATGGACCTGGAGAGTAAATAAGCCAGAGAAAGTCAAGTATCACATGATCTCACTTATATGTGGAATCTAATGAACAAAATAAACTGACAAAATATATCCAGAGACATAGAAGCATGGAACAGACAGACAAATCTTAGAGGTAAGGCATGGGTGGGGAGAGATTAATCAAAGAACTTATATGCGTATATGCATAACCCATGGACACAAACAAAAGGAAGGAGGAAGGCCTAGGGTAGGGCAGATGCTGGGTGGAGGGGATCACTGGGCGGGGAGGGGACATCTGTAATACTTTCGACAAGAAAGATAAATTTAAAAAAAAATAGATTCAGAGACATGAAAGCATGGTACTGACTGATGAATATCAGAAGAGAGGGGGAAGGGTGCGGGAAGAGATAAACCAAAGAATTTATATGCATACATGTATAACCCATGGACACAGACAATAATGTGGTAGGCCTGGGGAGGTGTGGTGCAGGGTGGAGGGGGTCAAAGGAGGTAAAAAAGAGAATATCTGTGATACTTTCAACAATAAATATAAATAAAAATATAGGCAAAGGGCTTGAATAGGCACTTCTCTGAAGAGGACATATAGGTGGCCAGTAGACATATGAAAGGATGCTCATTGTCACTAATCATCAGAAAAATGCAAATTAAAACCACAATGGGATATCACTTCACATCTGTCAGAATGGCTACCATCAATAAATCAACAAACAATTGTTGGTGAGGATGTGGAGGAAAGGGAACCCTAGTGCACTGTTTGTGGGTATGCAGACTGGTGCATCCACTGTGGAAAACAGTATGGAGTTTCCTTAAAAAAATTAAAAATGAAACTGCCTTATGAACTAGTGATTCCATTTCTGGGAATTTATTTGAAGAAACCTGAAACATTAATTCAAAAGAATATATGCAGTCCTATGTTCATAGCAGTATTATTTATAGTAGCTAAGATCTGAAAACAGCCCAAGTCCCCATCAGTAGATGAGTGTATAAAAATGCAGTGGTACAGCCCTGGCTGGTGGCTTCTCAATGTTTAGAGTGTCGTCCCACCCACCAAAGGTAGTGGGTTTGATTCCTGTTCAAGGGCATGTACCTGGGTCCAGGTTGATCCCTGCCCCTCCTACATCCAGTCGATGTGTCTCTCTCACATCTATGTTTCTATCTATTATCTAT